TAATCCCATACGATGTAACGTAATTTCCGTCCTTTTCGTTTATAGCTATCTTTTGCCGATCCTTTTTAACTAATTCCTAATCCTATAAACTAACTGATATATCCTATTCATGCCCGACTATTTTTCGTATAACCGTTCTAACTGTTATTCGTCCGGTAGCATTTACCGGGCTTCCCTTAACCCTCGATCCCTCCCCTATACGTGGTTCTAGGGGCTTTCTAGGCTCTTCCTACTAACTATATATCGGTAAGGGCGATAAGAGGGGTCTCCGGGCATTATTATGACTATTTCCGACTATGACTTATGACCGTTTTTTCTAGGCTTTCTTGTTTAATATCCTGTTTAATTCGTATATCGCGGTATCGTCTGTAGGTCTTCGCGTTGATCGGTAGGTCCCGATTAGGTTCGTAGCGTGGGTATAAGGTATGTCGGTATCTTCTTAGTAATTGAGGGCATCGTGGTACCTATCGGTTAGGGAGGAGAAACCTCCCTAGGTGCCGTAACTGGCTTGAAGGGATAAAATAAGGGCGATCGGATGACAAGCCTCTTGCGGTTGAAATAAACTGATTAATAACGAACGGATGCCTTTAAGCGCGTGTTGTAAAAAGGGGGTAGTGGCGGTAACGGTGTTAGATTAACTGAGAGAAAAACTGCTATTTAGGCACTATTAAAAACGGAGGTAAAACCAGATAAAAACGGGCATAGCTCCTTTAAAAGAAATAATTAAGAAACGAGGATAAGATAGATCTACTAATCGGCGAACGAGCTTTTAGGTAAGCTGATTAAAAGCTAATGGGAGGGCGTAGTTATTGATGGTTGCTATAGTTGTCTGCCCTTCTTATTAATCCTAATGCCTAACCTAAAAAGGCTTAATCTAAAAGCTACGAAAACGGCTCTGGAGCTACGAAAATAGCTCCTAATTAACTAAAAATCAGGGAATCTCTTGATCGACGAATTCTGAACCTATTAACTATAAAAACGGTCGTAAAAGGTTACTCTTAAGATGAGGTAAGGTCGAGCTACTAGGTAGTCGCCACTAAACAGGAGCAGCGTAGGTACGCTAACGGAGGCACGAAAAGGACTACCTAACTACTAATAACTAGCCTAGTACCGATTAACCAAGATTATAGCTATAAATAGCTATAATTGGTTAATCGGCTAGCTAAAAACGGCAGCTGGGAAAGGGAGATTAAAAAAGGGCAAAGGAGGATAGCTAGAAAGGCATGGCAAAAGGAGTAAATAGCTATAGGTCGTAATATCTATAGGTCTAAGTCTAGCTAATGAAAATATAAGTACGCGACCTATATAAATATACATCGAAAAGGCTACGTAGCCTAGATCCACCGCACTACTATAATAGCTAACTACCGCTTAATCGAAAGCGAGTAATTATACGGATAATTATACGAGTAATTATACGGATAATTATACGAGTAATTACGCGAGTAATTACTTTTATTTATAATAGATTATAGAGTATTAAGTAGGGGGTACGAAGAGTATATAACTTAGGAGAAAATATTATTAGTAATAAACCGGAGTATATACGGATAAGGGAATATAGGGAACTCCGAGATAAAGTACCTAGTAATCGATTAACCTTAACGAGGCATAGCGAGACTAAGGAATAACCCCCTTAGGTTATTATCGCGAGTAAAGGACTATAGTTAACCTTACTATCGTAAGCTTAACTAGGGGGTATATTACGTAGGCATATACTCCTAATAGGAACTACCTAGCTTACCTAAGCTAGTTAAGTACTACTATATATACTTATAGATTGCTCTATACTCTTTCGTAGCTTTCCCTCTTTTCTAGTTAGTTAATATATACCTTCTTACCCGTATTCTATTACTCCCTTTACGAATAACCTATTAACCCAAGCTTAGCTCTCGCTAGCTACGTAATATTACTTTACTAAAAGCATATAATAGGAAGCTATAAGTTAACGTATCTCCTATTATAACTCTATACATATACGGAAAAACGCGCTTTCCTAAAACGTTAGCCGTAAAGGTATATCTAACTATATCGTCGATACGTTTCCCTTCCTCCCTCTCTTTTTCCTCTTTAGGCATCCCATTTCGAAAATCCCCCCCTTATAATTATTTTATTCCTATTAATCTCTAGCCTACCTTTCTTATTACTAATTTAAATTCTTATTTTTACCTTTAACTTATTATCTTTTTTCCCCCTTTCCTTAATTCTTTTTATTTATTTTTACGATATCTTCCCCCCGCTCCGCCGGAATCCCCCTTCCTTTCGTCTATAGAGACGTACGTCGCGCCGATCTAACCGACTTAATAAAACTCCTACGGGAGATTTATAATAATAAACATAACTAATGTAATATAAAGAAGTACTAACTTAATATTCTAGATAATTACGATTCGGGAAGAAATTAAATCGAACTAAGATCCGATATAGCCTAGGCCTTCCGGCTATCCGCTAATCGGCCCCGAATTATAAATTAATAATAATAAAAGTAAACGAAGGTAACCCTAACTAACTCTCTCGTTTATATCGTCCGCTACGACTACCTTACTAACGAAGATATCCGTATCCTTTATATTATAATAAGCTACGACCTAAAAGGTAAAAAAGCGGCCTTCGAAATAAACCCGTATTAAACGATAGGCTACCGATCGGTAGGATCGTTTAACTTCCTAACCAGCCGGTACCTCCTCGATAACCCCGCCTTTACTTTAGTTTTTACGATTTATACGGATCTAATAAACCCCGAATAAGCTATTACCGATCCTTCGAAGTTCTTTTAGGCTTACTTCGCCGTAGCGTTATACCTTTCTAAGCTCCGGAAACTATATAGCTTTAATATAGTTAGAAACGGCGCCTTCGATCGAGCGGCGTACGCGCTCGGCTAGTTATAGTAAGCCTAAGAAGGCGGTAGCCTCGAACCCGATATAACCTCCTAGTTTACTTACTACGTCGCGTTAATAAATTAATAAAATAGCTTTAGTTAAGGTTTTTAAAGCGGTATTCTACCGTATCTTATCTTTAAATAACCGATCGAGGTCGCGCGTTAAGCCTAAGAAAATAAGAGGCTTAATTTCCTTAATATTATAAGAAAATACGCCGAAGTAATAAAGTAATTTTATAACGTTTAAGTTTTAAAAGAAGAAGTAAGTATCGTTAAGCGTCTTTAATAAGCCGTAAATTATTAAAAGCGAATTAACCTTATTAATATTATAACGTCCGCTTAAAATACGCTAATTAATAAATTCCTTAACCGTAAATCCTTTGTTCGTTTAATTACGTAAGCGGAGGTCCGTCGTTTTTCTATAGTCTTAATACTTAATCTCCCTTACTTCCTCGTATTAGCGGACGCCGAGCTCCGTTACGATAACCTCGTTAAGGTTATAGCCCGTTCCCTTCCTTCCCCCGGCCTAGTAAGGATCCGAGCATTTTCATTCGGGGAAACCTTTATATCGTATAAGTAAAGGAGAGATACCTAGTTAACCCTCGGAACCCGCCCGCTCCCCTGCTATCCCCTTAATTAAGAAAGCTAAGACGAAACTAAAAAGAAGATAGCCGAAATAAAGAAAGAATACGCCGATCGAGTTAGATCGGTAATGATAAACCGGGCTAAGTTAGCTATAAAGTAATAAAGAAGCTTCCTTATAATATTAAATAATAAATTAAAGACGCGGCCGTAGTAGTTAAATAATAACCGGAGGAATAAAGTTTCGTAATACTTTTTAATAGAAGATATTAATCTAAACTTACCGTATTATCCTTTTTAATTTAATTATTCCTTACGGTATAATTAAACTAAGGAAGCTATAATAATACGATAAAATATATCTTTTTAATATATTACGTAATACGTTACGATAGGCCTTATATTTATATAAAATAACTATAGTACCCGTAAGTACGGGTTATATTATACTTATTATTTAGTTTAATACCTAATTAAATTGTTATTTTAATTATTTTTACCTTAATTAAAGATTCGTTTTTATTATTAAATTCGTCGTTCTCCGATTAGTATATCTATCTTAATTATAAGCGCTTAAGTTACTTCGTCGTACCGTTATAACCGAATAAGTAACTTTTACGTTTTACTCCTTTTCTCTCCTTACCTCTTATGCCTTCGGGTTAGCGACTACTATATCTCTCCGACTAAGGGATATAGCTAAGATACGATAATTATATTAAATTCCTTATCTCTCGATTAATATAGTAGTATTAGTTTTATTTATCTTAGACCATCGTACGTATTATAGTCTTCGATAGAGTGTACTTTCGAGTGAACCTATCCGGGTCTCTAGCATCGCGTACGCTCTGCTCTTCCTTACTACGTAGCTCTCCCGATCTACGTAATACTAGATCATAACTATAAATAGCTATAATCAGTTAATCGGCTAGCTAATAACGACAGCTAGGAAAGGGAGACTAGAACAGGAGGGTAACGAGGATAGCGAAAAAAGGCATAATAAGAAACAAGTAAATAGTTATTAGGTCGCAATGCCTATAGGTCTAAGTCTAACTAATGAAAATATAAGTACGCGATCCATATAAAGAGATATTGAAAAGGCTACGTAGCCTAGATCCACCGCACTACTACATTACTCGTAAGAGAATTCCTCACGCGTACTCTCGTATACGTAGCTCCTATCAATAGCTACGTAATAATAGGATAAATAGTTAATAAAATAAAGCTATTTACGTAGCCTTTTACAAGCCGTTTTATATACCTTTTAGCTTCACATTAACTACTATTAGAACAGAGCTAATTCTTTTACTATACATAACCGATTACATGCTTACATGCTTACAAAAATATAAAAAATATAAAAAATATAAAAAATATAAAAAATATAAAAAATATAAAAAATATAAAAAATATAAAAAATATAAAAAATATAAAAAATATAAAAAATATTAAAAATATTAAAAATATAAAAAATATAAAAAATATTAAAAATATAAAAAATATAAAAAATTTAAAAAATTATATTATATTATTTATTTTAATATAACTTTTCAATTTATTTAATAAATAGTTTCTATCATTGCATAAACTTATTATACATAAAAAGCTATAAAGCTTACTATCTACTTAATCATCATACTCTTAGGGTAGTTAATATAAATGTAAGAAAATATTTTACATCTTCTGTAACCCTGTGTCTTCGAGATAATCGGGTCAAGATGCCCCGATTCCTAAGCCAACTCTTGGCCCCACTCTCTCGCTTCTGCCCCCGTCCCGTTCGCGGTCAACCGTTGCTCTCATTCGCCGTCCCTCCATGAGCCCTCTTAACCCTCGCTTTTGCAATCCAATGACGCTGCTGAGTTCTCCACTCCAAATTTCTCTCACACCACCCCTTTCACTGTCACCGAGTTCGCTACTCCACTCGCTTCCTGACGCGCTCGTCGTGGCGCTGAGTTCCTCCGGCTCCGACCGAGCTCCTGATACGCTAGTATTGATCCGGAGGCCGTCTAGCCCGCTCGCCGATTCCTCAACACTGGACTGTGACAAGGACCGTAGCCGGTCGCCGAAGGGGCCACTGGTTATGGTCCCAGAAATGGATGAGTCGGCGGCTATGAGGGTATTTGGGTTCATACTCCCGTCAATTCCACGACCTCCTCCTGCTGCCATTGCCGTAGCATTAAACACGGCGGCGGCGTTACGCGAATCGAGGCGCGCATGAAGACGTTCAACGACAGCTTCCAGTAGCCCGTCAATCTTGTATGGCCGAGCGATCTGTAATAGTGAACACAGAATTTGCGGCGTGCAAAGCGGCGACGATGGGGGTGGCAATGCTGATGTATAGAGAAAGTGTAGGAGGGCCTGGACGGTGGGACATGTGTGAGGAAGGTAGAGACATCTCGGTCGAGAATTCGGCGGCAGGGATGCGGGCGTCGGCGCGGAATTAATAGTACTGAGGTCTGTTAGGCCACTACCACCGGACATTGACGTGCCGGCGGTGCTAGGTTGCTTGAGGGACCCGGTGGACGATGAGTTGAGCGTGCTCGCAACGGATAACCCACTGTCTGCTGTATTCCTGTTGGACTGCGTGATGGTAATGGTCGATATGCGTGCTCCTGCCTGCCCCGAGACGCCGGTTCTCAAGGTGACCGAATCACTGCCGTCCTGTGTAGCCGCGCCCTCACGTAATAGTTGGACGAAGTAAGGACCCCAGCGACGTGCAACAATTCGAGAATTGACCGGAATCCGCTCCCCATGGAAGCATAATATATCCATGTCCGCCAGCTCACGTAGTGCCAAGGCCCTCTCACCCAGCTCTTCAGCAGCACGGCTGTGGGCTCTGCCCCCCCCGGTCCAGCCAGCCTTCCTAGCCATGCTGAGACCAGGAGCGGTGAAAGGACTGCTCGAGGATATAAAGCCTGACATCGGCGACGTCCTGCGAGGGTTATCGTAGAAGCCGAAGGCCTCCAGCTCGACCATGCAGACATTTGAGAAATTGATTCGGCGGTGATTGTAGTCATCTACTAGGCTCCGCTTGCGATTGCCCAGGATGACAAAAATGTTTCGCCTATTCCATAGGACACCCCTATTCCAACTCCCCTGGCTGAAAACGCTACCGCCCGTATCGATCCGCACCCAAGTCAAATTCCTCATGTCCAATGCCCAAAGAGCGTACTCCTGCTTCGAACTGGTGAGATACGTCCCACTAACGACGAAATAAGTATCGATGATGCCGCCGTTTGGAAACCGTAGTCCGGGGGGAGAATAACTACCCGACATCGCCTTTTCGGCGAGCGAGCCGTCGGATGAACGGATCTGAAGCTCAAGCTTCACATCCAGGAAGTTATAATTCGAGTAGATCAGCATTGATGATCCCGGTTCTTTGCCCTCCTGGCCGATCGTGCTTTCCTGACGCAAACCACCGTTGTTTACCCTGCCAATCTTGGCGGTGACGCTTGGTGGCAGAGGAGCAACTACACTGCGATACGCACCGCACGATTTTCCCAATGGTTGCGTTGAGGTCCACTTGAGGCTGCGTAGGTTGAAGACGCTGATCTGCTCGATGTAGTGGTTCGCTCCATCCTGGCCTCCGACGACCACCATCTCGGCGCCCCCAGCTCCATCGATGTTAATACCGATCCTGCCTTCGTTCGGGTTCCCGCCAGATGGATTGTGTTGAAGGGCGGATAAAGGTGCCTTGGTGGATGTAAAGGTCGCAGGCGAGGGCAAGATACACGCGCAGTGAGCGTACCGACCCTGGGGCGCATCTTGCGAAGGGACGTAGGTCCACTTCTTACTTGGCACATCGTAAATATATATATCGGACATAACCGTTACTTCGGGCTGCTGGTCGGGGGAGGCAGAAGCGGGCTGAGAGGTGGTAGGCGACATGCCCCCGTAACAGACCATCTTCGTATCGCCTAGGGCACACATGGAATGAAAGTAGCGAGGCGGTGGGACATCCCCAGTAGTGTCAAGTTTGCTCCAGTGTCTCCGGATGAGATCTAGCTCGTAGAGATCTGAAGTAAGGGGTGCTGGTCGACTTCTCGACAGAATCCGTCCGCCGAAGACGTACAGTTTGTCCCCTAGTATTGTGGTTGTCGCGCCTACTAAAGGGTGCGGCTCCTGACCGGTAGTCCGGTGAACATTACACATCAACCCAGAGAGGTGGGCTGAAGATCCCGAGGTAGCGGGGGTACCGACCGCGGTGCCGACGGCCGGAGTCCTGCTCGTTGGAGCAACCTGCGGGGACGTGCCAGCTGACAGTTGCCCATTACTCCGGGGGGTAAGATTATCTTTCAGGCCGTCCCCGGCATCAGTTCGCGAGGAACTAGCCACGGTACTCTGGCTGCTGCTCGCATCCAGTCCGCCGCTGTACATCTGATTGGGGGGTATTGAAGTATTGGAATCCATCATGCTCGTCCGGCCGGTCGTAGGTGCTTCGTGGGCAATGTCACTATTGACTACGGCGCTTAGATTATTCTGCGGTTCACTGGATGGACCTGGAGGGGTTGCAGGGCAAGACGGTGAGAGAGAAGGTGGCGGTGGTGCCGGGAGTGGTTTCTCGAGGCTGTTTTGTAGACTCAGATTCCTTGCATGCTGTGGAGGCAAGGGCTTCTGAGCGGGGTTGGCCTCTGTAGCTCCCGATTGAGTGGTGAATGTTTTGAATGCCAGTCTCGAGGGTGCTCTTGCGAATCTGAGCGACTCTTCTCGAGTTGGGATAGCCTTCTTGATGCCTCGATATACGTCAGAGAGGAGGTCGGACGGCGACTTTGAGGAAGGTTGTCGGCGTTCCTGGTCATCCAATTCGCTCTCATATGCGTCGTCGGTTGACTGAGAGCTATCTCGACGGTCTGGCTGACCCGGGGTTAGATTAGGACCTGTAGACATCTTTTACCTCCCCTCCTTCTTAGCCAAAAGGCCGAGGCGGTACTCAGGCAAGAAAGATGGACAAGGAGAAAGCTAGGAGACAAGGACTGGGCACCTCAAAACTAGAAGCAATGCTTGATGAAATGCTAGCGGTCTAAGACGGGTTGGATGGAGGAGTGTAGAGAAGAGAGAAATTCCACGCCAGGATGCGACTGGGGCTAGGGGTAGAGGGAACAGGGTATGGCTGTTTGTCCCGGCACAAAACGAAGGCGGGACTGGGACTACCAACGGGACGCGATGCTGCCCAGTCGAGACCCGAGACTGCCACGAGAAGTTGACGAAGCCAGAGAAAGGGTGCTAGAGGTGACTCTGGAGCAAGGTAGGGTAGATCGATGACAGATTCCCGGGACCCGCGATTCATGACATACCTGGCTAGGCGAGATGGAGAAAGGAGCCCCTTTGGGTGACGTCGTAATTAGCAATTTTAATTGCTCCGTTGGCAGCCTTTCTTCCCTGTCTTCTTTGAAGGGGCCCGCTTGCGACTCGGTCTGATCCCGCGATACGACTATCCACGAAGTTGTCGCGACCTCGCACTAAGTAATCAGTACGCCCGGTGGGGTTGGATAGAGTGGTTATATAATCATGTAGATAATCGTATAACCTACGGTAATTCTATACTCTTCTTGCTTTAACTAGGTTATATATTATTTTATTAATATAGTATAATACTATAGTTTATTATTTATTATTACTATTAATAATAATAAAGTTGAGATTATTTTTAAACAATGAATGTAAAAAGATGTTTTTAAAATCTTTCATAGCTATACAATAAATGAAGATTAATTAATTAATATATTAAAGCAATATAAAAGTATTAAATATTATGAGGTTTTTAAAAAGTATTTATATAGTTTACTTTATAGTTTAAATTATTTATTAAATTATTAACCTATTTAAAGAATAATTATAATATAATAAACCTCTTATTGTAGTGATTAATTATGAAGAAGAAATTATTTATATAAATATACTTAGAATCATTATTATAAATAACCTTACAAATAACTCCATAAATATAAAGTTATTTTTAATAGATGCTCTATTCTTAGAACCTAAAAACGCGCTATAAGTTTCTAAAATATATATATTTAATAAGAAAGAGGAAATTAATAAAGTTTTTCTTATTAAATATATTATTATTATTAGTACTCCATAGCTATTATAGTAGTGCGGTAAGATATACCCTCTTAATCCTATCCAGAGGATAGTTATAATACGTCAAACCTCCTGTTATACAAATTAATTACATGTTAAATACCTCTATAAATACCTCTATAAATACCCCTATAAATACCTCTATAAATAGCCTTATGAGAGGGTATCATTTAGGGGATACTTTGTTTTTATTACCTAAAAAACGCGCTATAGGTCCTTGAAAATACATATACTTAATAAAAACGACGGGATAAATAGAGTTTTTCTTATTTAGCGTATCCTTATTACCCTTTGAAATACCTACATATATTTACTAACGCGTTTATTGTAGTGGTGCGGTGGATCTAGGCCACGTAGCCTTTTCGATGTGTATTTATATGGGTCGCGCACTCATATTTTCATCATTTAGACTCAGACCTGTAGACATCACGACCTACAGCCATTCACTCGTTTCTTGCCATGCCTTTTCTCGCGATCCTCGTTGCCTGTTTCTAGTTCCCTTTCCCAGCTGCCGTTTCAGCTGGCCGATCAACCGATTACAGCTGTTTACAGCTGTGATCTTGGTTGATCGGCACTGGGCCAGTTGTTGGCAGTTGGGCAGTCCTTGTTCCGTGCCTCCGTCAGCGTGCCCACGCTGCCCCTGTTCATTATTTATACGTTTCTATTCCTATTTATATAATTCCTATTCTTCTTCCTATCATATAATCTATTCTTATAATCTATCCTTGGTTTAATTAAAATAAAATTATTTAAGATTAAAGGATATCATACTTATGAAAGAATTTAAATTGAAATTAGTAAATGATTTATTAATCTACGAAATTATATTATATCTATAAAATAGTATCTCTTTTACTACGAAAATATATACCGTCTTACTTAGGTTAATATTAAGGAGGAGCAGAGCGTACGCGATGCTAGAGACCCGGATATATTTACTCGAAAGTATACTCTATCGAAGACTATAGTACGTACGATAGTCTAAGATGGATAAAACTAATATCGCTATACTAATCGAGAGGTAAGGAATCTAATATAATTATCGTATCTTAGCTACGCCCCTTAGTCGTAGAGATATAATAATCGCTAGCCCGAAGGTATAAAAGGTAAGGAAAGAAAAGGGGTAAAACGTAAAAGTTACTTATTCGGTTATAGCGGTATAACGAAGTAACTTAAGCGCCTATAACTAAAATAAATATACTAATCGAAGAACGACGAATCTAATAATAAAAACGAATCTTTAATTAAGGTAAAAATAGTAAAGATAATAATCTAGTTAGATAATAAACTAAATAATAAGTATAGCATCTCCTATACTTACGGAAGCTATAGTTATTTTATATAGGTATAAGGCCTATCGTAGCGTATTACGTAATATATTAAGAAGGTATGTCTTACTATATTACTATAGCCTTCTTAGTTTAATTATATCGTAAGGAATAATTAAATTAAAAAGGATAGTACGGTATATCCCGATTAATATCTCCCTTTAAAAACTACCGCGAAACTTCATTTTACCGGCTATTATTTAATTATTAAGACCGGGCCTTTAACTTTTCGTTTAATATAATAAGGAAGCCTTTATATTACTTTACGGCTAACTTAGTTCGGTTTATCCTTATCGATCTAACCCGATCGGCGTTTTCTTTCTTTATTTCGGCTACCTTCTTCTTATTTTCGTCTTAGCCCTCCTAGTTAGGGGAATAGTAAGGGAGCGGCCGCGTCCTAAGGGTTAATTAGGTATTTTTCCTTTACCTATACGGTATAGAGGTTTTCCCGAATTAGAAAGCTTTAATCCTTATTAGGTTAGGGAAAGGAAAGGAACGCGTCGTAACCTTAACGAGGTTATCGTAACGGAGCTTAGCGTCCGCTAATATTAGGAAGTAAAGGGGATTAAGTACTAAGGCTATAAAGGAACGGCGGACCTCCGCTTACGCGATCGAGCGGACGGAGGATTTACGGCTAGGAGGCTCGCCGATCGGCGTACTTTAAGCGGATATTATAACGTTAATAAGGTTAATTCGCTTTTAATGATTTACGGCTTACCGAAAACGCTTAACGATACCTATTCCTTCCTTTAAAATTCGAACGCTATAAAATTACTCTATTACTTCGGCGTATTCTTTTATAGTATTAAGGAAATTAAGCCCCTTATTTTCCTAGGCCTAACGCGCGATTTCGATCGGTCGTTTAAAGATAAGATATAGTAAAATGCCGCTTTAAAAACCATAATTAAAGCTATCTTATTAATTTACTAGCGCGACGTAATAAGTAAATTAAGGGATTATATTAAGCTCGAGATTACCGTTTTTTTATACTCGCCGTAATTAGTCGAGCGCGTACGCTATTCGATCGAGGACGCCGTTCTTAACTATATTAAAGCTAAATAATTTCCGGGGCTTGAAAAGGTATAATACTATAGCGAAATAGGCTTAAGAGAACTTTAAAGGGTCGGTAATAATTCGTTCGGGGTTTATTAGATCCGTATAGATCGTAAAAACTAAAATAAAGGTAGGATTATCGAGAAGGTATTAACGGGTTAGGAAGTTAAACGATCCTACCGACCGATAGCCTATCGTTTAATACGGGTTTATTTCGAAGGCCGCCTTTCGATTTTTAAGGTCGTAGTTAGTTATGGTATAAAAGGCGCGGATATCTTCGTTAGTAAGGTAGTATAGTGGTGCGGTAAGACATGCCCTCTTAATATATTACGTAATACGCTACGATAGGCCTTATGCCTATATAGAGTAACCATAGCTTCCGTAAGTACGGAATATGCTATACTTATTACCTAGTTTATTACCTAGCTAGATTACTATCTTTATTATTTTTACCTTAATTAAAGATTTGTTTTTATTATTAGATTCGTCGTTCTTCGATTAGTATATCTATTTTAGTTATAAGCGCTTAAGTTACTTCGTCGTACCGCTATAGATAAATAAGTAACTTTTGCGTTTTACCCCTTTTTTCTTCTTATCTCTTATGCCTTCGGGCTAGCGACTACTATATCTCTACGACTAAGGGGTATAGCTAAGATACGATAACTATATTAGATTCCTTGTCTCTCGATTAATATAGCGATATTAGTTTTATTTATTCTAGACCATCGTACGTACTATAGTCTTCGATAGAGTACATTTTCAAGTGAACATATCCGGGTCTCTAGTATCGCATACGCTCTGCTCCTCCTTAGTAGTCGTAGTAGGCGAGGCATACGAAAGAGTTAGCTAAGGCTACCCTCGTTTATTTCTATAACTACTAATCCATGGTTCGGGGTCGATTAACGGATAGCCGAAAGGCCTAGACTATATCGGATCCTAGCTCGATCGGATCCTTCCCCGAATCGTAATTATTTAAAATACCAAGCTAGTATTCCTTTATATTACTTTAGTTATCTTTATTACTATGAATCTCCCGTAGGAGTTTTATTAAGTCGGTTAGATCGGTACGACGTACGTTTTTATAAACGGAGGAAAGGGAAAAGGAGGAAGGGATTCCGGCGGAGCGAGAGGAAGACATAATGAAAAATAAAAAAAAAGAATTAAGGAAAGGGAAAAAAAAGATAATAAATTAAAGGTAAAAATAAGAATTTAAATTCATAATAAGAAAGATAGGCTAGAGATTAATTAAAATATAATAATCATAGGAGGGGGATTTTCGAAATAGAATGCCTAAAGAGGAAAAAGAAAGGGAGGAAAGGAGACGTATTAACGATATAATTAGATATACCTTTACGGCTAACGCTTTAGGAAAGCGCGTTCCCCCGTATACGAATAAAGCTATAATAGGAAACGCGTTAGCTTATAACTTCTTATTATATACTCTTAATAAAATAATAAGTACGTACGTTCGTAAACTCGTAATTAAACGTAGGTTAGGGTAGGTATCATCGAGACTCTTCTAAGTATAGTACTTACGACCTAGGTAACGTATTCGATTCTCTTATTCTCGTCCGACCTTTCTTTATATTTCTCGCTATTTCACGGTCCCGATCTACTTCCTTTCTTTCTTTCTCTAAGTCCTTTATCTTCGTTTTAATTCGTTTTTCGATTTTTTTTAATTTTAGATTTATAATTTCGTCGTTCTTATTTCTCTTATTCTTATATATATATATATAATAAACCCTACCATCTAAAAGTAACTCCTTAAACTAAACCGGGCGTCCGTTCTTAAGCTACTCGAGTAGCTTAAGGCTACGGGAATTACCGACGAAGAAATCGCCGGGACGTTTAAGAAGGCTAAGGAGGATAAGAAAAAAGCCGTAACGCATTAACGGATTAAGTCGATACCGCCGCCGGTAAACCTAATAAATAAGTAGCCCGACGAATCCTTCCGCCGTCTATCTTCTACCGAAGAATTCCGGGACGTTAATCGGCTAATCCTTAAGCCTTAG